TTTTCCTTTTCTCCTGTTGCACTCTGTTGTTAGCTAGTACGCTTACCGTAGTTGTCATGCCAGATAATTCTTCGACGCAATCTGGGTGGAATAAGCTATTATTCCTTTCTGTTGGGTCATCTCTTCACCTCCCCCTATCGCGTCTGTGCAAACAGCCGCAACTATCCCAACCAGAAATGCTTTCTTGCTAAGAGGGCTGTTACCTTGTAATACCTTACCCATTATATAGGAGATGTATACAAAACGCAAATTTCAATTGTGGTGGTACTGTACTGTCCTGGAATTTTGTTTCCATGGTTTACACAGGGGCAGATATGTAGCTCATAAGCTCTTTCGGTTTTCCACGTCCCAGTGGTCATCGTTACCGTTGCATCACACTGCCTCCTCGATTATTAGAGTTCTTCCCCATCCAGCTCCCAATTTCCTTAGGCAAATAAATCACACACTTTGACAATCAGCATTGTATGATCTTCGTTGCGTGTTTAGATAGTCGCTTGAAGTGCGTGCAAACGCAGATTGTCTAATTACTTGTTTGTACTCTCTGCCAATAATTCACTCCACGACTCGCACATCCTTTGCTGCAACTCTGGACAGGGTTCAATCAGAATGGCAGCCAACCTCTGTTTAGTTAATCTTCCCGATCGCGTGCTGTTCCTGTGCTCGCGAATTTTCAGTTATCTAATTAGCAAATACATTCGGTGTACAAGCCAAATCAATAATGTGTTTTATGCACCCATGAAAATTGAATATTCAGTTGTAACACACGCCGGGAAATAGAATAGTCCCTGAGAATAGATATAGAACCACCGTTTTTGAAGAAAAGTAGTTGACAAAGATAGTATCGCTAACGTCATTTACTAACCAGTTCTTGAAGGGCTAATTTTTTCTTTGCCAAAAGTGACAAGCAAGGAAATATTGATGTAGCTTGTGCTGACGCATATGGTTTTCTGCCTCCGTCTGATCTAGGAGGTTGATGCACATTCGCACAACGTCAGTGAATATTTTAGATGCAAATTTGTTACAGAAGTTGGCATGACTGGATACCATGATGTTAACAAGTTCCGGCTTTGAAATACAACTACACCGGGATAGCTGCATCATTAATCTGACATTCACTTTGAGGCCTTCAATCGGGAAACAAGGATATCACATACATGCAATGATCCTACGTTGGATCAAAAAACGAGGTACACAAAGATCTAAGAGGTCTAACGTAGAATGAGAGTCTTTTAACTTAATGAATCTTTCATTCACTTGAAGGGACTACATAAGTCCACTGGTCAGTGTGAACCCAGGCATTTTACTGACGTGGACGGGGTCAAATCTTCACCGTCAACGGAAAGTTGCGGGCATAACTTTGGGATTTGCTGGTAACGATTCCCTTTGGACAGAGAAAAAGGGACCCTTGCATTTTGTGGCGTTTAACGGTAGGCAACGGGATTTTTACTGGTCTCTGAAGTTTTCCAGGAAGGTTTATAGTTTGGCCGATGACTCTATGTTTGGCTGTTAGACACCAAGGATTACATCATCCACATACTTCAGCAAAATAGCTTCTTCAGGGACGAGGATTGAGCTATCGTAAGTCGAAAATAGAAGTGGGGACAATGTGGCTCTCTGAAGAACACCCGAATTCGTGGTGATTAATGAAGAGGTCCTTCCCAACAACCTAGTGAACTAATCTTTCAACAGAAGAACCACAGTGCTTTGAGCTCCAGCACCTAATCGATCGCGTAACAATATTTCACGGTTGACACAACCGAGAGGGTTGTTAAAATCCAGAAAGCAGATGCGGATGTTTTTGTTTTTATTATCCAGTATGTATCAGATATGCTACAGTATATAAAGTGGACCTTCAGCTGTGATATGCAAAGTGATGAGGATCATGCTAATGCGTCTGGGCTGGCATCCTTTTAAGAATATGCCTCTCGGAGTTCTTCAATGCAACCGACATGTAAGCGATTGACCGATATTTGCAGGTTCCTTTCTTTGGCATCCTCGTGATGACTGTGCTTCGCCAACTGCTAGCTATCTTGTATCGCCCTGAGCGCATTATTTGCAAGTGGGCCAGATAAGCTGCACACTTCTTGATCACGACAGGAGACAACTTAAATGCGGCCCATGTGCTTTGTTCAGTTGCAACTTGACTATCTCTTTGTGCGCTTCTAAGTTGTTCACTGGTAGGTTATCTGAGAGTAGTGGTAACTCAGCCGAGGACAAAACAAAGACTGGAGTACTATCCTGGTGACAAAAATTGAGGCTTCCTTTTTCCACATCCAGAGTTGAACACGTTACGTCGCGTAGGACTCCGCTTAACTGCTTCAGCACTTTCCATATTTCTCGATAATTGTTGTTTCCAAGTATGGTTTGAACGTGGATATGGTTGAAGTAACTCAAATCGATTTTTATCTCAATCAATATAGACTTTACTGATGTGACACCTTTGCGTTCAAAAGCCTTTTATTTAAACTTACGCAGTTGTTTGAGACGAGAATCTGTCGGCACGGATAGAATTTATCTCAGTTAAACAGCATGTGTCGAAGCAGCAGTTTAACTAACTAGTTAACTTGTCACGGTACTTCGATACGTCCGCATTGTAAATGAATCTATAAGAAGTTGCTCTATGCCTTACAGCTTCCCTGGCCAGCTAAAACGAACGATACTGAGGTCGATTGCCACAGATCAAGCTCGATAACATGCAATCGACCTGTCAGATCAATGGTCAACTTTTAGCCTCCCTCACTGATCCGTTAATTAACTATGTAACTTGACCCAATGAGTCGATTTCAGTCCATTATTTTACCCTTAAATATGATTGTAATGGTCTGAAGAGAATCATCGAAAACAGTTGTTCACCTATGGTCTCGTGTTCTTTTGAATCTAGAACCTGTGGAGTCAATAGCTTTACGCAGTCGCTGAATATTATGGCTAAAGCATTCTTTCCGCCTGAACTTTCGATCTTTGCAACAGTTGGGATCTTTATGGTTCATCTTGTTATAACAGGCGACATTTACGATGGCATGATCAGAGCTCCTACTTGACGCTCGATTGCAAACAGAAAGCCCCTTCTGCTTTTTAATAAATCCCATGTCAAATGTTGCATCTAACCTTTTGGGAGATTCCACGATGTTCATTAATCCAAGATTCGCAGTGAAGCTGGTGTTAAATCTATTAAAATTCTAGGAAACTATGCATTAGAAGCGTTCTAGGTATTCGAGGACCGCAACTGTAAAACCGTCTTAAAATTTTTCGACTTCGGAGCTGGGACATCTGGTGAACTTGAACAATAATCTTTTTGCAGTCTTGGTTTGCATTCCACGATTAAACAGCTGATGCGTTGCGAGTTGTAGCGAAAGTGCTCTTAATTGACGTTCACTGTGAATAATTAGTGTAAATTATGATGGTTTCTCTGTGTGCGTTGGAGGGCAACATGATAAGAGCTGAATCCATCGAGCTCCACCGCTGCGTCTTCAACATTGACCTGAAACCATGTTTCCCGCAGCATAATGATGCTTACGCGAGAACATTCATGACGTTCTTTCGCACTTTTGAGATCTTTTAATTTTTTAAGTAGCTATTGGATATTTACACTTAATACAACAGATAGGCTCGTATTTCCGAACTTTATTTCTCCGAAACACAATCCTTTATTCTACACGGTGTTTTGTGTCAAGTCTTTCGCCTCCCTTTTATTCCTTTTATTTTGTTTCGTATTGCTAACCATGGAAAAGTGACCAATTTATGTACTTGAGAACACGCAAAAGTGTCAAAGTATCACGTGTGTAAATGATCATGTCGCTAGATCCAGAACAAATTAATAAGATGTTAAAACAAGAGTTCAGATGCAGTGTCGAACAGTGTGTGTGTGTGTGTGTGTGTTAGTAAATCCTTATGATAGGAATTACATGGCACGGCCGAATTTGAAGGCTTCGTGAGGAAAGTATTTTCCGCCACATCAGTTATGACGTGTTTATCCCAAACTGGTTTATCATTTAGTTCCTGTATCAACCGGCGTATTTTCCTCGTTCTGGCCCATTAGTTAGTTGTGATATTACTTTAATTCAAGTTAGTAGTCTCATCGCTTCTGAAAGGTATGGACAACTAAATCTTTATCGTCTGCGGCACTTGGAAATGCGTGCGCTGCTGGCTTGGGGCGACTTTTTACAAGTCAACTTCAGGAAGTGCTTTATGCACCCAGGACGAGTGAATATTCAGCTGTAACACCCGCATACTTTCAGCAGTGTAGTATGCTAAAATACAACCCCTAATATGTGGATTACCAAATGGAAAACACTACCATCGTACTGTACATTAACTAGTTAATTCACGGACAACTTCCATAGAGTCTGGCGAAAATCGCACCGGATAAGAAGTAACGAACGAACGGTAAGGTCATGTTTGGGAATGTGTGGATTTGTGCTTCACTTATTGCGCGATGAGGTTGCTTGTGTCGCTAGTCTTGTCAGAACTAACATAAATGAGCACAAATATATCAACAAACGTCTGCTATGGCACACCGCGACATCGGGACAAGTGTTTTAACGGCCTGGCGAATAACTTAAGTGCTTACTCAGTACATCGAAAGAATCACTGGAGAGCAGTGCGTCTAATATGCATGAACATTGAAGTATCGAATCGAATGGGGACAGAAAAAGCTCGCCGTTGGTGTAGAGCGGTAATCTCGTGTACGTTTCATTCATGTACTTTAACGAAAAGATATCATAGTTGAGCGTGATTCCCAGGTGCTTCACTGGTGTGGAGGAGTGCAGCTCCTAACTGTCGATGTGAAGTCCCGGGCACTGCTTGAGAAGCTGTTGAATCCGATCTCCTCTGTGCAGTGAAAAAACGACGTCATTACTCTATGATCCACTCGTTTGAATCTTCATGCAATTGTGGCACCCGGTCGCTGTAACCCTTGCATGATATGCGTCACGCCTCCCTGTTGCGCTGACTTCTAACGCATTTTCCACCTCTTCCTTGTCCTCATCTTACTACTCAATCAGCATGCGTCTGGATTTTTCGGACATCAACTCGCCAACGTCAGATGAACAGCGGTCAGAAAAGTTGCATTTAGAAGAAAAGACACTTCGGCAAATTCCCACACATATTTTCATTCTTGTAAGTTTTATTAGTCCATCCATTTCATGCGCGGACGGCAGTTATACTTAGATTTTTCATTTAGCTTTAAATAACCATTCATGATGACTGGCTTTTTGCGCTGGCTTCCCAGCTTCTGATCTGATCGTCACTGGGCGATCTTTGTCTGTTGCTCTATATTGCTGTCTTCTGCTGAACCTTCTGCTTAGCATACAGCAAACCTTATCTGTGAATATGGAGCTTTACTCGACCATGTTAACCGAAATTCCTTTCTCCCACTTACCATTCTCTACTTAGTCGCTCTCGCCGCCTATTATCAGCTTACGTGTCCCGCAACATTTGTGCCAACCCCTGTGTCTACACTCAGATAAGATGGTGACTTGCAATGGCTGATCTTTGACGACTTACACCGCGTGTTACTCCATACAGTGTTTACTCCGACCGATATCATATAAGCTCTTGATTTTCTTCGGACTCTGGTGCAGCTTGTGTCGTGTCTAGGAGTAACTGTGATCAAGTTTTCGTCCACTGCTGTGTGTATGACACGCTATATCATTAAGCTTTCAGTCATTCACCGTATTTTTGGCTGAAACTATGAGCCATTCCACTGAGTGGTGTTCCATTCTACACCGGCCAAATGCGCTTCAACCACATGTGGGCGTTCAAGTGCTATTCACTAGTTACGTGTCTGGATACTACTAACAAAAGCTGCTTGTAGCCAACTGGGTAACGACTCTAGTCCCATCCGAATTGGGTCGCCTGGTTCGTTGCTTACATGTGATCACTTGTGAATTATGTCAGAGAGTGCAATTTAAATTTTGGCAGATGGCAACTTTTATGATGAATGCTCGGCCAAATGCGGCTAAGCTATTTAAGTTACAAAGGCTGCGTTCTAGCCTTGTGCCCATCAGGTATGCTCACACAGTGACTTCTCTATTTTTTTACTGGATACATTTTCATTTTTGCCTCATTCGTTCCAATATTTTTCCTTACTCGGCTAATCTAGGTTCCCACTCCATTTTTACTGCTTGATATGGGACTTGTTGCCTGTGGGCATTTGTTGTTAACATTTTGCTCCTATTCGCCCTTTTCAGCCAACGGCGAAGCAACCAACCGGCATCGTCCGCTGCACATCCTCCGGCACAATTTCGAATAACCCCGTATCCTCGTCCTCGTGATGTGTTTATTTCTTCTGTACTTAAGCCGAAAAACTGTGATCTTTGCATGATTCCTCTTGCAGTTCAATTCTGCCCCTCAACCGTTTTGTCTCATTTTTCTATGTATTTGCGCATATAAAGTACATTCGCTTTTGTCCTTTAATAGCTGCTCTAAATTGTACCAACTTAGCGTACTTTTTGTTCGTAGTTCTGACGGATAGATCGATGCGTGTGCCAGAAAATTTTCGCACTTAGGCTCTTCACGCTGTTCCTTCATGTCGATATATGACCCCAGTAACTCCACAAAGCACGCAGCAACTGGTTTGCATATTCGGCTGCGTCTCATTCTCCTCGCATACAAACTGCGCCTTCCTAGGCTGTATCGATCCGGTGTCCGTTGCATATCTACTTCCATTTCCCGAAACATTGCCACTTTCCGTTCGTTATTCGCTCTCTGTGTTCTTCACTCTCGTTATAACTCTCGCGCGTCACCTAGCATCCATTTTTGTGTACTTTTCTGACCGCGTCCTGCTATCTTCATTGTGAATGCCACTACATTACCTCACCTCGTTTTATTGTGATGTGCGCATAGTGTGTAACGTGGGGTTACGTTATTTCAGATCTCATTACCTAGTCATTCTTTTTGTACCCTTGTCGAATCGAAATTCACACATCATCCCTTTGTACAAATTCGAGCGTGTTACGTGTGCACCGCATCTCTCAATGGTGGAAATGCCCTACAGCTGGGATCCCCCAAGACATTTCCACTCGATACATTTCGGCAATTGGAGTGAGTCGCCGAATGTTGAAACCTTTAGCTCATCTCCATCGGCAAACTAAAGTAGATTCCTATTACCAACCGGCTAATCGTCGATAGCATCTGCATGAGATGTTTATCCGGTGATCATCTTCTGACACTCGTTTTGATTTTATCCGAATAAGGCAACTTTATACTCAGTGCTCTATACTCACGATACAACCTGGAGATTCATATACGTGGTGATTTCGTAGTCTTAGCTTTATAGCATAGCTTATATTGTTCAACGTGGACAGCATATTTCACCAAAATAGTTGTTTGAGATCTGTCGATTTACCCTCCGAGAATCAAAGCGGATTCTCCTCCGTTGCCGTTAGTCGTTACCAATATCCGTTACTACTGCACAGTGGGGACATCTGTACCGCACATACACTTTAATCCCTATTCCACTGTAGCGGTTCTTCCCCGGGTTTTTCCCATTGTCGCGTTCTACTTTGTTTAATTATGTCCATTGGACCCCTGACGAATTGTGTTCACCGAATCTGTCAAGCGGAAATTAACTTATTGACTGAAAGTGAAGTAGATCTGCTCATATAAACAGATAACGCCCGGTATTTTGATACAAAAACAATTTTACTTGATAATATCAGTAATAATAGGGCGCGTTGCCTGTCCGAAAACACTTCACTCTACAACCGGTTCTAAACTTATTTGATCTCATCAGGTAGAGATAGCAGGTGTCGATAGGCGGGCAACACTCGGTGTCCAATTACGATCTCAGTGCTCGAATTGACCAAGATTCACTTCAAGACAAATCGCGGTCTACATTGAGATTGCGCGTCGCAATCGATTCACCCAGTGATTGCTCACAGATGACCCCTCATCAGTCATTTACCGTTGTGCCGAACGCTACCTGTCGCGACCTAGTGACTAAAGCGTAGAGGTCCCAACTATCATCCCTATGGTCCCGGTTTCGAGGCCGGCTATCTCTGCCTAATGAGATCATACAAGATCGAAACGCGTAGTGGAGTGCAGGGTTTTCGGGCAGGCGTCACCCTATTTCCATACGCTTCAGCTACGATTCTAGTGATCGAATTTGCCAACGTTCGCTTCCATGCGAATCACAGTCCACAATGAGATTGCGTCCCACCTCGCATTCACCGCTCCGCAATGACCTCTCCAATAATACGTACATTATTCCTGCCCCGCGAAGCTGTAACGGCAGTTCAATATGTACAGGAGTAACCATGCTGTTTCGTGGGCGATACGCTTGTGTGGAATATTGAGGCATTGGATTCATATAATAGTGAATTAGTTGATGCGAAAATCAAGTTTTGGAAACGTGGCTAACTAGACGTTTTTGGGTCTCTCTTCGGATAGCCCATCCAGGGACTCTTCCGAATGTTATTAGCTTCTTACTAAATGTCCATTAAAACGAGACTGAAACTTACCGCGATGCGATTGTTTGCGTGCCTCAGCGATCCATTGGGTTATGCTGGGTGGTGCTTTTGCATCTTCAGAGCCACTCATACCAGATTGATCAATGGTTAGAGACCAGACAAGCTCAGTCTTCTGGCCCTCCAGATTGGTGCTTGGAGTGAGAGTGACTCCTCACTCCATAAAACGGGCTCTCTGTAGTTTAGTGCTATAACCCCGCTGCCTTGCTGTCAGGTTGTTGAACTAAAGGCTTTGGTTGAGAACCCTAACCGTTCTCCTGACTAGGCCTCGCCAACCTGACAGTATCCTACCCACGCAATACAGTGACCTTACATTCAAACAATTTCTTGATGCTCTGGTCGTCTCAGAGGATAATCGGCAGCGCCATACCTGCTGCATCGAGCGAGGTGGATAGGGGTTTGAATGCTACTGCTCAAACCTCGTCTCCTGCTTACCCTCTCTCGCGCTTTTTCACTCTTATCGTCCCGTTTCAATTTTTATCCCCTTGTTTTCAGCCCCCTAATTCTCGGCCCTCCCCCATCTTGCTTCAATTGTCGCTTGTCTTCTGGTTTCGACTTACATGCAATCGCAGGGTGTCACACCGATCCAGTCGGCAGTTCAATATCCAGCTGGACGAACAATGTCTGTACATCTGCTACCATTTCGATCCCTCTATCCTCCCTAAGACTGGCATGCCTCAACGTACGCACTTTGTTGCAGATTGGCCAACAGGCAGCACTTGCCCGAACACTGGAGACCCTGTCGGTCGATATCTGCTACTTATCAGAAACTCGCCCACATGATTCGAGTTCTGTGCTTACGCTGCGATCCCCAACGTGCGACACTGGCGGTATTTTCTCATTGAGCTTGTCCGGAGACTATGAGGTTTCAAATGCCGGTCAAACCAGTATGGACATTGCTCTTAGCCTCCGGGCTGGAGCTGCCTTGATCGGTGGGACCCTACTGTATAGCCGGATGTGCGCTGGTAGATTAGCTAGCTTATTTAAAGCTTTGAAGTCGCGTGGGGACAAACGGTGCTGATTTGTCATTTCGGTCTACACGCCCACATATTGTAGCGCTGACTCGGTAAAAGATGACTTTTCACTAACTGAATACACTCCATCGTGACGGAAAAAGCACGGACACTATGGTGCTTGCTGGTGATTTGAACGCCCAAGTAGGGAAATTGTCCACTAATGAGCTTCATCTGGGTGGCCAACACAGGTTGGGCTCCCTTAGTGATAACGGTGATCGGTTGCTACACTTGTAAAGATGCTCCACTTTCCCTTGCGAGCATTAACTTCCAATACAGTGCCCGCAGAAGGGTGACTTGGCGCCCACCAGCCATGGACGCAAATCGATCACATTGTGATCAGTTACCGCTAGAGAGGATGCGTTCAAAACTGTTGCTCGATTTGGAGCACGAGCGTGGGCTCCGACCACGCAATAGTTTACGCTGACCTCCGGTTGCATTTCGGTAGACGTCCACAACGGCACAGTGAGCGCATAGGTACTTTCTAGATGTTCTGAATGCGTATCTAAGTACGCTGGCATCCGAGCTGGGTAAGCGCTCACTGAACATATTTGAAGATCACTGGTCGCATATCCGCCAGAACTTATTAGCAGCAGGCATGTCTTTATATGGCAACTCAAATTGCATGTATATTGGGTCTCCACCCAGTCTCTAGAACTAATGGATGCTCGCCGACGTGTTCCGGCTAGAAGCGAATACAGTGAGACTCACAAAGCTCTCAGGGCGAACCTACGTGCTAGCCTGTGAGAGACACGCGAAGCCTGTTGGTCTCATCGTGTATCGGAAATGGAAACAGCCGCTGCCCTTGGTAACCATTGGAAGTTATCCCCTCTAATACGGGAAACATCATCATCAGCCATGCGAACTGATGCTTCGCTGCCATACAACCATGAGGAACTATGAAATAAAGAATAAGAAGAAGGAGAGAAGAGGGACTTACCTGAAAACCTTAATGCCCTAAGCAAACATTCAGAGTCAAGGCGCCTACACCTTGTATAGTCAACATACCGTCACAAACAGCTGGCTATCGTGCAGAGATAAGGCGGCATCGGCGAGACAAATCCCTTGCGGCTTTCACTGCCACGCGTCATAGTCAGCCAATACCCCGCATATAACTCAGCACCAAACACACTTTAAACAGGCAATCCGATTAGAAGACGGCAGCAGACGCGCCACTGGTGTCGGTTGCGAGCCATGTCCTGTAAAGTCTCGAGCCAAGCACAAGGTGAGTCACGTGGACTCCAACCCGGAAGGCGAGACGGACCAACGGCACCCAGTTTGGTAGTCAGTGACTTCATTTGCCGCTGCCAAGTCAACTTCTGTCCACCGCGAGCCTTGCGCCACCCTACACCTGGCAGACTAAACAAGGTCCTCCTAGGTAAGCGGTGACCAGGCATACGTAGCACGTGCCCGAGCCAACGCAACTTATTCAGTGCTATCTGTTGTTCTAGGGAGTTAGCATGATTATCACTACCTAGTACTCGCCTACGCACATCATCGTTGCGGACACGCTGGGTCCATCCGACTCCAGCAATGCTTCGCAGACAACGATGATCAAAGACTTGAAGACACTTCAGATCTTCAGGCCGAAGGGGCCAAGTCTCACTACCATAGAGCAGAACGGCCCTCACTGTGCTCTTGTATACCCGGCCTTTCAAACGAAGGGAAACTCCGTTCTGTCGCCAAAGGTGCCGCAGGTTCAAGAAGGTAGCTCTGGCTTTTGCAATGCGTGAGCTGACGTCAGTTTCTATGCGCCCATCATTGCTGATGCAGCTGCCAAGATAAGTGAAATGG